GCCTTGTTGTGTGTGTGTGTGTGTGTGTGTGTGTGTGTGTGTGTGCGTGCGTGCGTGCGTGCGTGCGTGCGTGCGTGCGTGACTGACTGAATATTTGTAGCTACTTTCTTTTTATCTTGTACCTGCAATCTTCAAGTTTGGTTGAAGATTGCAGGCTGCAGGTTGCAGCCTGCAGAGAGCAGCAGTGAGGATGCTGAAGATGATGAGAGACATCTTCTCAGAAAGGTCAGTCTCCATCAGACCCTGCACGCTTCAAGAAACAGCTGTATGACATCTGGTTTCACCTCYACCACAGGGACAGGAGTGGAGGGTGGGTGACTCTAACAGCAGGGGGCGCTGCTGCACAGGTTTAACTGACCATTAGAAAAGAAAATGAAGACTTTTTAATACAAATTATAATAAAAAGTTGAAGTTAACCTTGAGCTGAGTGAGAGCAGACCTAAAGATTTACTCAGGTTTTATTCTGGTGATCATTTTCTAATAATTTATTTTAGTGAGGACTCATGTGGATTTGAACACGTGTTTGTTGGTGAGACCAAATACGGGCTGGAGATCATGGGTCTGCACAACTGGGTGCAGTTCTACTGCAGGAAAAACTCAGACAGGTGGACTATAAAGGCTACAAAGCCAGGGCCAACAAAGACAGGATAAGAAGGTTCAACTCCTCATCCTCAGAGGAGAATAAACCGAGGCCGCTTCACTAAACATCTCAACGTTTTATCCTTTTCAAGCCTGATGAGGACCACCACGTCCTCAACCTGCAGTTCAGTTGGAAAGGTTGGAAAGCCCCGAGTTCGAGGTCGCTCTCTTCACCATCGTCTTCCTCACGTCCACCGAGAAGACGACGACCGTGGTGGTGAAGGTGGATGAGTACGTGCTGGAGGTGGTCGTCTGTCGACACGGCCGGTCCATCAGGACGTCCTACTCCAAACTGCTCAGCAGCAACAACAGGGATTAGTGAGGTTACTGCATTCAGACACACTAATTATGAAGGAAACTTGGAGAAAATTACTTTTTTTTTCACTAAACATCGGTGATCGTCTACTAGCTTATTGATTGATGTAAACATTAGATTTAAAGGCACAGTGTGTAGGATTTGTTGTTTTCAGCGACATCTAGTGGTTGAGTGGTTGAATCATCCTCCT